GAAGTCAACCAAAAAACTAAACAAAATGCCAACATAATTTATAAACAATAAGAAAAAAATAAATAAATAAAACGGTCATAAATCAATTTACTTTTAACTTTTTTTTCTTCTTTCCAAAACTTTTTAACTTTTTTTTTTTTTTTTTTTCTTTTTTGACTTACTTTCGATAGGATTTTCCGCTGCTTCCAGAACGACGGACATTCCCCCAGGCAAAATTCAAATGACTTAATTTGGAAGAAAGTTCACCTTCGTCGCCATCGTCGGCCATTTTCCTTCCTTTCTTTCTTTCTTTTTGACGTTTCTGGTTGCTAAGCGACGTTCTTCTTTCGCCTTTGATTTCTTTGTCTTCGTTCTCCACTCCTTCTTTATTTACTTATACCCCCCTCCCCTTCTCGATTCCTTTATAAACTCTCTTCTTACCCAATAATAAACGCATAAAAAAATTTCCCGGTCGACTCATCGGTATAAGCGAAGGACAGAAGAACCTAATAAATGAGGTACCCGTATTAAAAGTTGTAGAGAGAATCGGATTTTAACCTGATTGTGTCAGTTGCAATAACGTATATTGCAAATCAATTATATAGACTTCGAGCGTCACTTATAGTCTTGCTCAGTACTTACTTAATATATCGATAAATCTGTAGCCAATAAATGAAAAACTTGTGTTTTTTTTTTTTTTTTTACTAGAATCATTTTTGAAACAGGAGCAGAAGATTGGTTTGATTTGTTTTACGGCATTTCAATGGGTTATAATGCCGACAACATTTTTAGGATAGATTCGTATGAATAGAATATGTATTCTTTGGATTAGATTGATTTGGTTTATTTTATCAACCTCAATGGATTATTTAATGCCGACAACATGAGGATAGATTAGTTATAGTATGAATAGAATATGTAGTCTTTGGTTTAGATTGGTTTGGTTTATTTTGTTTTACGGCATATCAAACCTCAATGGGTTATTTAATGCTGACAAAAATATTTATTGCTAGTAATATTTTGTTTTGTCAAAAATCTGTTTCTTTTAATATATTTCCTTCAAAATTGTATTGCTGATAATAATTTTTTCAAAAAAGTATTGCTGGTAATAGTTAACTATTTGCTCATAGCTGGGAACCTAACAGGTGCTACCACCCCGGGTCAGGGTGGACCTGAGAACACCAGCAATTAAGAGGTGGTTTCACGTTTCTCAAAACCTCCTGATCAGAGGCCTTGCTGCTGGACGTAGTTTATCGTCTTACCCAGGGAGACAGGAGTAGAAGTTTATCCAGTGACAGATATAGTCTTACCAACCTGCGGGCTTAAGTGCATGACAGGACGTGGTCAGAGGGAAGGTACTTGTTGAGAGCTGCAAGGGATGGAGGGAGCCATGATCGCCCATGACCTGAATGGATATGGCACATAAAAAGAAAGAAAAGAAAAGAAGAAAGAAGAGAAGAACAGAAGAAAGAAAAGAAGAGAAGAAAAGAAGAGAGAAGAAAGAAGAGAAGAAAAGAAGAGAGAAGAAAGAAGAGAAGAAAAGAAGAGAGAAGAAAGAAGAGAAGAAAAGAAGAGAGAAGAAAGAAGAGAAGAAAAGAAGAGAGAAGAAAGAAGAGGAAAGAAAGAAAGAAAAGAAGAAAGAAAGAAAGAAAAGAAGGAAGAAAGAAAGAAAAGAAGGAAGAAAGAAAGAAAAGAAGGAAGAAAGAAAGAAAAGAAGGAAGAAAGAAAAGAAGGAAGAAAGAAAAGAAGGAAGAAAGAAAAGAAGGAAGAAAGAAAAGAAAAGGAAGAAAAGAAAAGAAAGAAAAGAAAAGAAGGAAGAAAAGAAAAGAGAAGAAAGGAAGGAAAGAAAGAAAAGAAGGAAGGAAGGAAAGAAAGAAAAGAAGGAAGGAAGGAAAGAAAGAAAAGAAGGAAGGAAGGAAGGAAAGAAAGAAAAGAAGAAAGGAAGGAAAGAAAGAAAAGAAGAAAGGAAGGAAAGAAAGAAAAGAAGAAAGGAAGGAAAGAAAGAAAAGGAAGAAAAGGAAGAAAAGAAAGAAAAGGAAGAAAAGGAAGAAAAGAAAGAAAAGGAAGAAAAGGAAGAAAAGAAAGAAAAGGAAGAAAAGAAAGAAAAGAAAGAAAAGGAAGAAAAGAAAGAAAAGGAAGAAAAGAAAGAAAAGGAAGAAAAGAAAGAAAAGGAAGAAAAGAAAGAAAAGGAAGAAAAGAAAGAAAAGGAAGAAAAGAAAAGAAGGAAGAAAAGAAAAGAAGAAAGAAAAGAAAAGAAGAAAGAAAAGAAAAGAAGAAAGAAAAGAAAAGAAGAAAGAAAAGAAGAAAGAAAAGAAGGAAGGAAGAAAAGAAGGAAGGAAGAAAAGAAGGAAGGAAGAAAAGAAGGAAGGAAGAAAGGAAGGAAGGAAGGAAGGAAGGAAGGAGGGAAGGAAGAAAGAAAAGAAGGAAGGAAGGAGGGAGGGAAGGAAGAAAGAAAAGAAGGAAGGAAGGAAGGAAGAAAAGAAGAAGGATGCGGGATTTGAAGGGACCTCGCAAGTGGTCCCTAGGGCAGGGATCCGCAACCCACGAAAGATTTTTGTCCGACCCGCCAACAACCGTAGTAAAGAATTTGCATTTTTTTGTTGATTAGTTTTAATCCTCTTATTCTTGAAGTAAAATAAGGAAACCTGTTTAAATAATATAAAATTAACTTTGTTGTTTTTTATTTAAACCTCCAGACCAAGGCAGTCTTCTGGACGCAGTGGTCAGGGTTTGAGACAAATTATTATAGTAAATTTGATATAATGGCCCTCCTTCAAGACACTGCATAGCTTTCTGTCCCTCTCACTCCAAAATGTTGGTGACCCCTGTACTAGATGATACCCTAGACTTGATCAGTGGAAAAAAACTGTCTACCCTCATAGATTAAAGAGTACAGTTCAGAATTCTCTGAATATACACCTGAAGACGAGCAGAGAGCACAACGGACAGAACATTTTGATAACAAAGATGAGGACAATAGTGTAAATAATGATAACTCCTCATTTGGAGTAAGTAATTTGCCATTTTTAACTGTATTTCATTTGTAGTAAGGAATTTGCATTTTTTGTTGATTGTGTTGTTATCCTGTTATTCCTGCAGTAAAATAAGGAAATTTGTTTAAATAATATAAAATTAACTTCGTTGTTTTTTATTTAAACCTCCAGACCAAGGCGACCTTCTGGACGGAGTGGTCTGAGGTCGAAATAATATAGTATATTTGATATCATGTCCCTCCTCCGAGACACTGAATAGCTGTCTGTCCCGCTCTCCCCAAAAGGTTGCCGATCCCTGGCCCCTCTTCATTTAAATTCGGCCCTGAATTTATCCTTGTTTCCTGTTAAGGATTGAGTTTTTTCTAGTTCCTTCTAAAATCTTCTCATTCTCTTTCACTCCCACTAGATTAGCCATCTTGCATCTTAGTGGCATTATCGCCTTGCTCGTTGGTGTTCTCAACTAGGGGTGGGGCGAGGAATTCCTCCGAGGGGAGGATTTCAGGGTTTCACTGGAGAGGGAAAATCTTACGTTTTTCATTTTCAGAATTTTGTTTATTGAAGTACAATATCCCGGCATTCTAGCGAACCTTAGTTTATTGAAGTATGTTTCAGCTTATTTATTTAATAATTAGTTATGAATTTAAAAAAAAAAAAAAAAAAACAACAACAAATTACTTACACTGTACAATGCAGTAAATTTTTTTACTGGCGCTAAATTAAAAAAAAATCTTAGAAATTTCAAAACGAAAACCTCTTCCAATCAATTTAAATTAGTTCTGAAATATAGCGTAGTATTTTATTTATTGGAAATATTAAATTTAATCTATCAGCTTGAAATTTAAACTAAAAAGCTTCAAGAAAGATTAAACTTTAGGTATCGCGTTTTGTGGAGGTGCCTTGTGTACTGTACATTGTGGGGTTACTCACATCATATCAGCAGAAATAGCCTCGTGTTCACAGGAATAAAAACATACACAGAGATAACAGTAAAGGCATGTTAAATTGTATATTAATATACAATTTATTCATTTTGTCTATTGGTGTGTGTATTTTTTGGTTACAAGTGTTTTAAAAGGTTGCATGTAATAAAAGGAAGAAGTCCTTCGTATTATTACAAGCAATGTCCCCGAGAGAGAAATTAGGACAAGTGTTAACCGCCCGCCAGTCAGTCAGTAGCGAAGAGGTCAAATTCAACGTCTTTTGGTGGGATATCCGTTTTCCGGCAGGAAAAGTTTCTGTTGAAAGCTTGAAAAACGGAGGAGAACTTTATATATATATATATATATATATATATATATATATATATATATATATATATTATGCAAAGTTTTAAAGTTTTTGTTTTTTTATAATATTCATTATTATTTTATTTTACATCTTTATTTATAATAATAATGTGTCTGCAACATATATTCAAGTTTAAAAATCCATCAACATTTTCTATTGCTATTAAATTTATAAAACTCCTCTAAATGTCCATGTACTAATATGGAAAAGACTTTCAATGATATCTATCAAAGGCAGGGTGTGTGTGTGTGTGTGTGTGTGTGTGTGTGTGTGTGTGTGTGTGTGACGAATGCACGGCAGCAATTTTCGACGGGAAAAAAATTTACATGCACGGGCTCCAAGTTAGCGGGAAGGCCAAGACCGACTTTGCATTTCCCAACTCCCATCGATAGTGGAAATAATCGATTTTTTCATGCTTCTACGGCAGTTTTAATGTAGTTTTCGGCCATTTTCTACTGGCCAGAGTGAGAGCCTATAGCTGGCTGCCACCAATAGGCAGGAAGATTCTATTGGCCAGCTTGAGAGCCAACAGCTGACTGACACGAATGTTAACTCGCATGCCAAAAAAAATCGATAGCTGCATTCGTCACAAGTGGGAAAAATTTAAATCTGCATGGCACTTTACTCCAATTGGCTCATTCGCTTGCTTAAACTCAACGTTGATTCTGATTCCGCAGAACTGGGTTGGGTGTGAAAAAGTATTTGTTGTTAACATTTTTTCATTCCGTTTTTCAAGTTTACGGTCCTTTTTTTAAAGCTGATCGTTTTATGTTCATTTTGTTTAGTTCTTTTTTCGTAACAGATTTAATGTTTAGTATAGAGCTTAGAAAAAATTCGCAGTGCGAGATAGGCAAGAAGTAAGGCATGTAGCAACATCAGCACGGCAAAGGGCACTCCTTTAAAGGCAAGGAAGGGCAAAAATATTTTAAGTGATAGCGATTGCTGTACGAGTCGTACGATTTTTGAATCAAGCACGGGCAACGCCGGGTCATGCTGCTAGTATACATATATTATTTGGAATGCACCTTTCGAGTTGGAAATTCTTGGATGACATTCTGAGAAATGGGGAAAAAGGAGCGTTGGGCAAAATAAGTTGAGAACCCCTGCCAAATATAGAAACAAAAAGGACACTACTTGAAAAATAATTGAAATATTTAGGGCACTTAATAAAAAGAGCAGGAGAGACTGTCCTGGGTATGACGATAAACTACATCCGACAGCAAGACTTCTTATCAGGAGACTTTGAAGAGCATGAAACCACCTCATAATTGCGGGTGTTCCTATGTCCACCCTGACCAGGGGTGGTAGCACCTGTTAGGATCACAGCTATTGGCAAATAGCTAACCCCCAAACTGGGGTCAAAACACTATGAAAGTGTAAAAATAGGTTTTAATACCAGCAATAAATTTTTGATGAAAAAATTATTACCAGTAATGAATTATTACCAGGAATACATTTTTGAAAACAAAATATTATCAACCATACATTTTGGAAAAAATATTACCAGCAATAAAAAAATCTTGTTGGCATTAAATAACCCATTGAGGTTGATATGCCGTAAAACAAACCAAGCAGAGGAGAATTTAATATGTTGAAGCATGGCCAACTAGTATTATATTAGTATGCCGTAGTTCAAGACAGAGGAAAGTAGCCAATAACCTGCCGATCAAGCCAGTGTAAATGGTTGGCAGAACACGGCACATTTTCAAACTTGTTTTTTTTTTTTAATCTGTGGTTACTCCAGTTGGCTTTGCTAAAATGTCTGTTAATGGAGGCGCTTTTTAAGCCTATAAAAAGGCAATCATATTCTTTCTCTTTTTAACTCTTGCTTTCAGATGTAGTCGATATCGATTAAGAACACCGCCGAATAGGCGCGTTTGCTTCCTTGGTCCTGTTGACTTTTGAAAGCTCTCACACATGCATAGACACACACTTAGTCTATCACTCACACACAGCCAGACACACACTTAGTCTATCACTCACACACAGCCAGACACACACTTAGTCTATCACTCACACAGCCAGACACACACTTAGTCTATCACTCACACACAGCCAGACACACACTTAGTCTATCACTCACACAGCCAGACACACACTGTCTATCACTCACACACAGCCAGACACACACTTAGTCTATCACTCACACACAGCCAGACACACACTTAGTCTATCACTCACACACAGCCAGACACACACTTAGTCTATCACTCACACACAGCCAGACACACACTTAGTCTATCACTCACACACAGCCAGACACACACTTAGTCTATCACTCACACACAGCCAGACACACACTTAGTCTATCACTCACACACAGCCAGACACACACTTAGTCTATCACTCACACACAGCCAGACACACATAGTCTATCACTCACACACAGGACACACACTTAGTCTATCACTCACACACAGCCAGACACACACTTAGTCTATCACTCACACACAGCCAGACACACACTTAGTCTATCACTCACACACAGCCAGACACACACTATCACTCCACACATCACTCACACACAGCCAGACACACACTTAGTCTATCACTCACACACAGCCAGACACACATAGTCTATCACTCACACACAGCCAGACACACACTTAGTCTATCACTCACACACAGCCAGACACACACTTAGTCTATCACTCACACACAGCCAGACACACACTTAGTCTATCACACACACAACCACACACATTAGTCTATCACTCACACACAGCCAGACACACACATAGTCTATCACTCACACACAGCCAGACACACACTTAGTCTATCACTCACACACACAGACAGACACACTTACTATCACTCTTAGTCTATCACTCCACACACAGCCAGACACACACTTAGTCTATCACTCACACACAGCCAGACACACACTTAGTCTATCACTCACACACAGCCAGACACACAGTCTATCACTTAGTCTATCACTCACACACAGCCAGACACACACTTAGTCTATCACTCACACACAGCCAGACACAGTCTATCACTCACACACACAGCCAGACACACACTCAGCAGACACACACTATCTATCACTCACACACAGCCAGACACACACTTAGTCTATCACTCACACATAGTCTATCACTCACACAGCCAGACACAGTCTATCACACACAGCCAGACACACACTTAGTCTATCACTCACACACAGCCAGACACACACTTAGTCTATCACTCACACACAGCCAGACACACACTAGTCTATCACTCACACACAGCCAGA